ATATGATTACCAAAGTACCTGCTTAACTTTATGAACCATGTAATAAACGACAAAATCAAAATATTTATATCTCTTCAGCATATTTATTGCTGAATTTATTTGTTATACCAGCCGATAGATGGCGGTACAATTACGTTGCTAAGAGTTACTAACAGCCGTCGGCTCAGCGCCAACAAAGATGAACCTCAAACAACTGTTATCATCTTCCATTAGTTATTGGACCGCACCGACCTTATATTTTCGGATTCGGATTGTTACTTGATATCTAGAAATAGGTCGGCCATTTTCAGGATATCAGATTGAAAATAATTCATACAGTGTCATCCATTACTGTCATCAAACAAAAAACTTCCTATATGAAAGTTTCTTTAAGATGTTTCATATCAAGTACCCTGAATGTCTCTGGTACATCCCGTATCATCCCACAAACATCCTGATGCCAGCAACATCCCAAGAATGTCCCAAGGAGAATGGGGATTTTCCAGAGATGTTCCTATCATACCATATGGATGTTTCTACGACGTCTTACAGATGTTATTGTGTTATTAGGGAAATAATAAAATCAAAATTCACACACAGATTTGTTTGTCCCCCGATCAGCTGATGAAAACGACGAGTGCGCCATTTTGTGACGTCAGCAGACATTGCTCTATTCATGGATGTGTTTGATTGAATCAGATCTACAGTACATCCATGCAATATTTACTTGATTGAAACTCCTAATTGGCTCTGAGAGAAGATATAGTTTTACTCATTTCAAGTTCATAGTTTGTCGTGCATATGACACTTTTATTTGCTTCAATAAAATAAATGATTCTTGATTCAACGATTCTTCTTTTCCCGTGAAGTTACAATTTTTGTACATTTCAAAGGTATTTTTATAAACAAACGTTCTTTTTTTCTGAGAGTCTATCAGAAAATCTCATTCGGATTGAAAAACAATCTGAATAGAATTGAGTAGGTGTATGTACCTATACCTATTTCAAAATGTAAGTCGTTTTTCTCGTATAGGTATGAATCGGTTTTGTGGTTTTGTCAAGGTAGGTATAGACTATAGATGGAGGAAAGAATGTGTAGTCAATGGTATAAGACTCAAGACAACCTCATGCCTTGTACGGATCTCTTTGTCTTCATCAGAGGCCAATGCACTTCAAGGGCAGCGAAAGGTTGCTAGGAAATGACCATAACATCGTTCAATGATTCCCACACAGGGTGAATCACAATATTCCGACCCTCCGTACGTCTATTGTTCTTCGAGGATCTTAAGAAATCAGAAATTTTTTCAGCGATCATACAAACAGTTACTATAGGCACTTTTCGCACTCTCTTGTTGAAAATCATGTCCGATCCATCGCAAAAGCTGCTTCACAAAATTCTTCTTGTTCCGTGCGAAAATCTACTTTTCCTACGAACGTGCGGAAAAGTAACTTTTCCGCATAAGTTTTCGTTTTGAAAGTTGTACTTTTTCGTACGATTTTACTTTTTCGCATTATTGTCAGTTCTCCGCAAGATTTCGAAGGAAATACCAGGAGACATGTGGTGATAACTGTCGGCACCAGAACGTACCCATAGCAGCAGACGCTATAAACTGACAGTATCCCTAACAACACAAGGACTTCCCAGGGACGTCCTTCATTTTCTACAAGGACGTCCCTGGGATATCCTGTGTCGGGACATGGTACATACTAGGGACGTCCCAGGGATATCCGCTTTCCACAAAAATAGGCATCCTAGGGATGTCCTTCTGGTACGTCCCTGGGATCTACCAAGTACGAAGAAAAGATATTCCTAGGACGTCCTATCGATATCCCAGGGACATCCCTTCGACAAAAGAAAAAAAAATGTAGGTCGAGTACGGATTGAACCCGGGACCTTTGGCTTATCAGGCACGCATCATACTCCATTGGCTATTGAGCCTCCTGAAGATTTATGTACTTAACAAATTTATAAACAGGACTTAACTACAGAAACCTGAATAAATACAACTTTGTTAGGATTTGGGTATAATTATTATATTATTCTTGGGTGTTTAAAAATTAGGGGCATTATGCATGTACGATTTCTGTTTGCGAAAAATGGTAATTTCTTAAGAAGTTCTGAAACTTTATTCTTTATTTTCATTACAATTATTTTCCGGAAGAAAAACAAACATTTTCAAAAAAACGCAACTTAATACTTTGATGAAATTCAATGACTCTGATGTGAATGGATATCAGATATTCCAGGGACACGAATAGGATAACCTAGGGATGTACCGGGCGGGATGTCCACTGGACAACCACTGCGTGACATCCCCTGGATGCCCCAATCATGTCCTTGTACCGCGGGACAAAAAAGGGACGTACCTAGGACATCCCTGTGTTGTTAGGGTATATAGTGGCAGCCAACAAATTTTCCCGTGTACGTAATTCCAATTAGAAATGGACAACTCAGAAAACTTTCAAGATCTTCCCCCGGAAATGATTGATGCAAACACTAACCTATCAGCAACAAGCACAAATTGCACTTTCAATTTCAAAAATTTTTCATCGTTGATGTTTTAGTTATTGTTATTTAAATTTTATTCAAATAAGTTCCCTATATTGCTGAAAAAATTCCACTTAATTAATTTTCAGTGCATGAATATATCGTGCGGAAGAGTTTCTTTACCGCACTGGTGCTGAAACTTACTTTTCTGCACGATTTTTATATTGTTGAAAATGAGGATATTCAGGACATATTAAACCATGTAACTATTCTTGTATTTTTTTTCAAAAATAAGTAATATGGACAAAAACAATCGTACGAAAAACTTTGTACCCAACTCATGCGAAAAATGTCTTTTCCGCCCTTGACGACTTGAACCCTTATCCTAGAATGTATATTCATTTTTCAACAATCGAAAATTGGGTGAATCAAAAATTCGGTGAATTGAAAATTAGGTGAATCAAAAATTGAGTGAATCGAAAATTGGGCGAATTGAAAATTGGATGAATTGAAAATTGGATGAATTGAAAATTGGGTGAAACGAAATGTTGGCCCAACGACATACTTGAATGTGAAATGATTGTTGATAATTCCTGTTTCATTGAATCCGAGGAAATACAGTGTGTCCCACTTACCATGCTCACCATGGGTATCTTTTTAACGGTGAGAGATACGAGGTCGGTAAAATGACATCAAATGTGGAGTTTATCAAGGCCAACTATAATGTGAAAAAATATTTTGATAAAATCTATTCGTTTTTGATTTATACGCAAAAAACAGATTTTGATCATTTTCATGTCTCCTCCGTAACTCCTTTATTTATGAAAATATTCAAATAGGAATTCCACATTCTCATGGCAGTTTTTCAAAATGATTTCGAAAAAAATATGAAATTTATACCAATTCTTCTAGAATTCGAGATATCAGCACCAACTTTAGTTTTTCAAATGTAGGTCATAGCTCACTATGACATAGTTACAAATAACTTTTTTTTCTTCTACAGATGATGTGGCGCAGTTATAGTTTTGTGTTGATAACAACGGAGTTATCGTCATTTATACAAAAACAAAAAATTATTTGGGCACCGCCATCTTGAATTTATAAATTTTAACAAAAAAATCATGATCTCCGACCTCAACAATCCCCACTTACCAATTTTGAATGTAATCGGACCAAATCTTGTCCGCCATCTTGGAGCAGCCATTTTTTTAAATTTCAACAAAAATTCCATAATGAATTGTCACCGAAGTTATGAACACCTGCCAAATTTCAAGATAATCGGAGTAATGGAATTTTCGCTGAAATTAAAAAAAATGGCTGCTCCAAGATGGCGGACAAGTCATAGTGAGCTATGACCTACATTTGAAAAACTAAAGTTGGTGCTGATATCTCAAATTCTAGAAGAGTTGGTATAAATTTCATATTTTTTTCGAAACCATTTTGAAAAACTGCCATGAGAATGTGAAATTCCTATTTGAATATTTCCATAAATAAAGAAGTTACGGAGGAGACATGAAAATGATCAAAATCTGTTTTTTGCGTATAAATCGAAAACGAATAGATTTTGTCAAAATATTTCTTCACATTATAGTTGGCCTTGACAAACTCCACATTTGGTGTCATATAACCGACCTCGTATCTCTCACCGTTAAAAAGATACCCATATTGAGCATGGTAAGTGGGACACACTGTATACATAAATATACATTTATTATGTTTTTTGACATTCCATATGTACCAAGTGTATCAAAAACGGTGATAAATATTATTATGATTATTATGGCATTATTTGACAACAACGCATCTTTCGGGTATGTTCGGAGACGGTGGGTGAATCGAAAATTGGGTGAATCAAAAATTGGGCGAATCGGAACTTGGGCGAATCGAAAATTGGGTCAAACGAGACGTTCCCAATTTCGTTTCACTAACTTCGATAATGAAAAAGCTATAGGGGTGACACACCTTGGAAAATCTACGAAGGCCTGGAAGGGACAAATAAAAAAAAAATCAACTCTTCAAAATTCCGAGTTATAACTCGGAATTTTGAAATTCCGACCTATATCTCGGAATTTTACATTCAAAATTCCGAGTTATAACTCAGAATTTTAAAATTCCGTGTTATAACTCGGAATTTCACATTAAAGTTCCGACTTATAGCACGGAATTTTACATCAAAATTCCGACTTATATCTCGGAATTTCAAAATTCTGAGTTATAACTCGGAATATTGGAAGTGAAATTCCGAGTTATAACTCGGAATTTTAAAATTCTGAGTTATAACTCGGAATTTTGAATGTGAAATTCCGAGTATAAGTCGGAATTTTGAAATTCCGAGTTGAAGAGTTGTTTTCTGTTTATTTTATATACGTGTGTACCTTCCAGGCCTTCGTAAAAATCACCCTAAACTGCTCGTGAACAGATTATTTACCGATTTATCTTGAAATTTCTCTGGGTTAGGTTGACTACAATATCAGATCCATTCTTGATCATGCTGAATAATCTCTTGAAGAAATAACAATTACAATTTTTTGCAGTATCCAAGAAGATGCTGCCAATGAAAAAATACTCAATGATAAACTCACTGAAATGATAGTGAGCTCCAAATCGCTGAGTAGATATGAAGGAAAATCATTCAAAACTATATTACCACAGGTAAGGCTATAATGATCCTGATATCGTTTTATGAAATATACAGCGTGTGTCACCTTAAACGCTTCCCCCCCCCTATATATCTCAGCTATTAATGATCAGTTTCTTATAGACAAGCATAATTCTGGACAGTGCTTTGCGTTTTCATTGGAATCATATACGTATTAATAATCAATACGGATAATCTCTATCTGTTTCCATAGCGAAACATGAAGCCGATTTTTGAAGACAAATGACTATCCATAAGGAAAAGTTTTGAAACGATCAGACACATACTGCTTTGATTGAAAGGCTAGTAAACGTCATTGTCCACCGAAACGCATGTCTTTGATGACTACTATAATAGCGCTAGCATGGCGCATGCTTATCATGCCACCAAATCCTTATGGATATTCATTTGTTTCATATTCTTGGCTTCATCCTGGCACCCGTTATGATCCGTATTGTTTATTGATACGTATATGATTGAAATAAACTGGGGTCAATTTTTCATAAACTCATTATAGGCATTCTTTTGCGGAAAAACTAACCTCATAATATTGTTCTACATGGTGAATTTCCTTGATGTTCTATGGAGAATTTCGAAAAAGAAAGCACATCTAAACAGTTTTTTTGCGAAAGAAAAACAAAACAGTATAACTTGTTCTTTATTTCAAAATATAATTTTCTACCAACTGGAGCCATCGAACGTTCTACATTTGCAATCAATTTGAATCCATCATTCTCTCAATCAGGCACAAAATTAAAGAATAAAGCCAATCCTGATAATTTGAAATGAAATGGAAACTCTAAAGCATGAGGAATAATATTATGATGTCAGTTTTCCTGTGAAAAAATGCCTATACAGGGTGACATAGACACTAAAATAAAAAAAAAAGTTCCCATGAACACGGGTCCGCAAGGCCTTCGGTTAGAAGATACGGGGTGTCATATATTTTTTATTTATTTGCAAAAACAATGATGAATACCTCAACAATTACATTCAAAAACCCCTGTATACCACATTTGATCCATGTCTTGCGTCTCTGGCTGAAGATATTTAAAAAAAAAATATTCGAAATTCAGCCAAAGGCCTTGCGGACCCGTGTTCATAAGAACTTTTTTTCTTATTTTAGTGTCCTCTATTGTGTGGCAATGTTCTTTTTTCTATGTCACCCTGTATAATCCCTAATAGCAAACAACGTCCTAGGGACGTTTCTATTAGGTACAGTTCAAGTCCGAATGTCCCGGACCAAATGTCCTAGAATTCCTAGAAATAGCATCCCTTGGACGTCCCACGAGGTACATATTGTAGAATTTCCATGCAAGGACGTCGTCCCTGATGGAATATGGTTTAAGCGTTTCTTTAGGGACATCCATCGGATGGCCCGACTAGTACATATTCTGGAATGACTCCAGATCTTATATTATGTCCCTTCTAGACAACCATGAAATGTCCCTGATGGTACTTTCCTTCAAATATCTCTGCACAGATGCCCTTAATATTTCCAGGATCGTATAACAATGGAAATGTCCCTTAGGGACATCCTTCGAATGTCCCTTAGGGATATCCGTCGGATATCTCAATTGGTACATGAACTGTACTCTTCCAATGTTCTGGAAATAACGTCCTACGGATGTTCAAGTCGGTACTTTCAATATGTTGTCCCTGCGAGGACGTGAACTTACACCTCGCCGACGAATGATTGCTCGTAGGCTATAAATACTCCCCTCCCCGTCAATGTCCTTCTCGTCGTGAGTCCATTGGACATCCTTGGGAAACTTCTTCAGGATCTATTGGGGACCTTCTACGGACCATCAACTCAACTGGATGTCCTCATCAGTTATGCAAGATCTGGTCCTAGAGGGACCTAGAAGAATCAGAATTCAAGAATAATTCGTTGCGTTGCTGATAGGTCGTCCTACTCATGTCCTGAAGATGTCCTCCGTAGTGCTTGATGAGGAATACTGTAGGATTTAGGTATTCGATAGTTGTCCCAGGAACATTCCTAAAGGACGTCCTTCATTGGTCCTCAAGTGGGACATGTGTGAGTCCCACAGACGTCCAATGGACGTCCACGGTACTAAATTCGAACGTCCTATGGACGTCTCGAATGTCTCGACAGGACATCCTAAGGATATCCATGGGACTAATTGTGTTATCAGGGATGATTTCATAAAAAAACGACTCTTTTTATTTTAATAAAAACGCAAGGCACTGAGATATAGAGGGGCATTTAAAGTGAGACACAATGTACACAGCCTCCATCAGTCGAATCAACATATTGTCATAAGTAATATCACCATGTTCTGAATATTCGAGATAATTATGTCGCTTCCTTGTTCACGGAAGTGAGTTGCCGAGCAACACCACGAGTACGTCAGGACGAGTGGCATTGCTGTACGTCATCACAATTGACTTAACAGGGAGAGACAAAATTATTATGAGAAGATATTCAGAACAGTGTGGTGTTTTGCTAGAATATTTCACGTTCACCAAGCATAAAGAGAATTTATTATAAATGAGCGAATTATTCTGAAAAGTGCAGCTGTAACTTTTTAAAGCTAAACTGACAGACTTCGCTTCGCTATCCATGGTTACATCGCCAAAAACACCAATCAGACTTGAAAGATAGATAGAGTTTTCGCGATAACATAGGTTGTCTCTGGCTTGTGATTGGTCGGATTATGTGATGAAATAAACACCTGTGATACCACTAGAGGTTGAAAAATGTCTGGATAATGATTTTACCTCGTGTGGTATTCGGTAAGAGAATTTCAACATATTTGTTGAACTTCATGATGGTCGAAATCCTATTGGTATACATCTGAATAATCAGCTTCACAGTCAATACTCGATACCTACACTTATATGTAGTTTTTGAGGCTGAATTAGAATCCTTTTCTAGGTTATTGCCACATTCATCTCAGCAGGATACCATATAGTAGTAGGAATGGCTCTATCATACTCTGCCATCCTGATACCAGCATTGAACGGAAATATAACTGAAGATGGCAATGATGAGGAGTTATATGCAACAAAGACTGAGTGCTCTTGGATAGGTGAGACATTTTTACCACGCTTTTACAAGCTTCAAAAGAAGAAAGGAATGCTCGGAGTATGTATGTTTCTCTACGGCTATAACACAAAATTGGTCTTTTGTTTTACTGTGGTCGATACATTGTTTGTCATCAATTTTATTTCCTTATCTGATATCACAATGACACTTTAGTGTTATTATTTCAGAAAAATCTCATCGCCCAGGGAATGTCAAATGTCAAGCAATGATAGCTCTGTCTTATAGATATGAGCATTACTTGAGATGAAATCAGATGGCTACAAAACGAACAAATCAAAAATCAAATATTTTTTATAGCCGTAGAAAAATTAAATAGTGTATAGCTCTCATCATCCAGGGAATGTCAAATTTCAAGCAATGATAGCTCTGTCTTATGGATGAGCATTACTCGAGATGAAATCAGATGATGGCTATTCAAGACGAACAAATCAAAAATGTCGCTGTTATTTTTTATAGCCGTAGAAAAATTATATAGTGTATAACTCGCAAGAAATGCTAATTTCCCATTCTCATCTCATTCATTCCGTACTCGTTTAATTTTATACTTGTGTCCCATTATCCTGATCTGAATCCTCACTATGATTGATTGATTTTTTCTCCAATGAAATGGTGGATAATGTTCCGCCACCCAAATTTATAATAATGTTCCGTATCCAAAATTACAAATGTACGTTCTCAATCCTCTGAATAACTTCTTGCAATGCTTCTTCTATAATAATATATGTTCATTCAGAAAATAATCATACCAATAATAATTGATAAAATCAAAATAATATTGATATATTAGTAATAATATTAATAATAATTACAGTATAACAATGATGATGATAATGTATCAGAATCAGAGCAAAATGAGTGATTGATGAGATGATAATGAGCAAATCGTATGAATAAACATAAGGACACTGCAAAGTCCTGAGACTGGTCGCGACGAGAATAGTAAATACCTATAGGATACATATTTCTCCACCACTAGCTATGAAACCTATCATTATTTACTCCTTTTCGAGGCGTGAGATGTGTTTTTACTACCAAGGTAGTTTTCGTCATTTTATAAACCACTAGTCAATAAAGACATTGCCACCTCTGTTCATATTACCTCGTATAAGCCTCATGAGGACTTACTTATTTATTATATTACGTATTTATCTTCATTTGTATAAAAAACATTTTATCGATTCTATAGCAATTCTGCAGTCTCTTTCATAATATCTCCTCGTATAAACCTCATGAAAAAATACTGTATTTATACATTTCATAATTTTCGACATTGACCGACACTATATATTTCTTTTTTGGAACATAGCGATTCTCATCACGTTCAAACATATTTTTCTTCATCCCGGGACAACTGAACATATTTTTTATCGCACCTTATTGTATATCCACCATCAAGAATAAATATAAACTTCATGCGTCTGGAACAACAATCGTAATTTTTTGAATTTTAAAATTTATCTTAACGAAAATGCATCATTTTGATTAAAAATGCGTACCTTCATTATATGACATTCGATACGAGAAATTACAAAACCATTTCGAGGTCAGACACCAGATATCCTCATAACGAAGTAACACTCCATCATTTCACTAGTTACACAGAGAAAATTATGTTTCCTCTACTGAAGACTACGTTGTTCTCCATTCCATCATTCAGTATTTCATTTATCACTTTGTATAGACGACGACGACCATACATATACAACGTTGATTCTTCGAAAAAGAATTTCGTCTTCCAATTTCATTCAATTATTCGTCGAAAAAATGCCTCATTTTGAATGAATATTCATAACACGATCATCAAAGCTCTGAATTTGGAAATTCCGAAAACGTTTCGAGAGAAAGCATTAATCAAGACGATACAGGTGAGAAAAAAAATAAAAAGAATTATCTGTTCAAACGGTACCGTTAGGTGATGACAACGATGCAATTTTACACTCATTCAATTATCACCCTGTAGCAATGTTTTCTTCAATTAGAGAAGTTTCATATTGCCACAACAAACTGTCAAGAGATTAGGCTAATCATCGGTGGAAATCGATTCCAAATTGGTTAGGGAATTCGTGAGTTATTCTACTTTGAATGCAGGCTTCATTTTGGACCCACGACGTTATCAATGTTGACCAGTTTAGATATTTGCTGATGAAATAAAAGTCGAAATGGCAACCCTGGAAATCCGATATATTTCATATGTAAATAGGACTGTTATGTGGATACCTATAAAAGTGTTTGAGGTCGACGAAAAAATGTAATATGCACCTCGGCGAAAAACGGTCTATTATCATGCTTGATAGATAGCCGAGGCCTTATCCGAGGCTGCAGACCCGACTATAATAGACATTTTTTCGCCCTTGCTACATAAATATCATTTTATACGTTATTTCAGTTTGGCTATCTATAAAAGCGTGTATTCTTTAGTTTTTCAAACCTCAAATTTTTTTCTAAGTACACAAGTTTGTTGAGAATTGTGTGCAAATTTTTAATTAGATTGTTTAAAAAACCATACCTTGCTAATAAGTTAATTATTCTCATCTAATTTTCAGCTAGTGTGGTGGTTCTTGTCGTACCATTAGGAGCTGTCACTATTGGCATGGTGATGGACAATATAGGAAGATTGAATGCTGTCAAACTAGCAATTATACCTACTATTCTTGGATGGGGATTAATAGCAGCAGCTCAAAACGTTACAATGATCATTGTGGGGAGAATTATAGTTGGATTAGCTACAGGTGAGGTATAATGGATACAGGGTGAGTCATGAGGAACTGTACATACTCCTTCCAGGAATAGAGACACCTGAGGAAAATACCTAATGTCCATCAGAAAGGTCACAAACAAACATCAGAAATGAAATATTCCAAATTCTCCTCACACTTTCACTATAGTTTAATAAAAAATGAATTTCATTTCAAAAACGAGAATGTGTCAAAAAATCTATTTATTTGGAAATAATTACTTCGCAATCCATACATTTCACGAATAAAAATGAGACTCACGTTTTCAATGCTTTGGCTCCATGGAAATCAAAATATTATCTTATTTTCAGGCCTGGATTTAGTAGTTCAATTTTTTTGTGGAGATCTTTTTCGAATCAATGGATGGGGTATCTGTGAAAATGTTGATGGCCATCACTATAAATGAATGAATGATTTCAATCCACAGTTTCATCTTTTCGATTTGTTTTATCCAGTTAATTTGGTCACTTGTTTTCTGTATAAGCATTATTATCAGCCGTTGTCAATATAGCTTTTGGAAAATGATTTTGAATAAAATTTCATTATTCATAAACAGCTACCCCATCCACAGATTTGAAAAAGATCTACAGGGTGATATGACCCTCCACAAAAAATAAAATGACAAAATGCAGGCCTTGAAATGGAAGAACATGTTGATTTCTATTGGGCTAAAGCATTAAAAATGTAAGTCTTACTTTTATTTGTAAATATCTTCGAATGAATGGATATGTTGTCGAACTTTCCTGTTTGCTTATAATTTATCGTTTTATGGAAAAATCAGTGGAATTGTGAGCAGAATTTTGAATATTTTATTTCCGATGCTTGTTTGTGTACTTTGAAAATTCCTTGTCACAGTTTACAAAAACCATATACACGATGAACTTTTTGATGAAAACTATTCTATCGAAATTTTTTAGAAACGGTTCTAAATTTCCCGCTTCTGGAAATTCCATGAACATCAGAAGAATCGAAGGAGCTGTTCAAAAAAGTTATGACCAAAAGATGTTTTCGCCAAGTTTCATAATTCACCCTATACAGGGTGGGCCACCAGTAACGCCTCGGTCTCTAGAAGGCTAACCACTTATCTTCTTGGAATTCTTCCTCTCTAGGAAGTTGCACGTCAACATAGGCTACCATTTAAAATTATTTCGAAACATACAGGGTGTCCCCAAAAACCATAAAACACTGAGATTAAACTTTTTTCTATCGAACACCCTATATATTATTTCATTTTGAGATTCTCCCTGATGAGCTGATTTCAACGACCCATCATACTTGGGGTCTAGCAGTCATAATTACTGAAATATAGGGTGTGAAAAATCGAGATTTTCCAAGTTCAAGAATTTTTTGTGTCGAAACTATTCATAATTGGTCAAAACGGCTCACATGTCCCTATCTCAACTTTTGATTAACTATCTACTGATATTTAATTGGGACATATACCGGGTGATCAAGATTCTGAATTCTGCACCACCCTGTATATGTTTCAATTAAATTTCAGAAGATAGTTGATTAAAAGTTGAGATAGGGACATATGTGAGCCGTTTTGACCAATTATGAATGGTTTAGACACCAAAAATTCTTGAATTTGGAAAATCTCGATTCCTCACACCCTATATCTCAGTAATCATAGCTGCTAGACCCCAAGTATGATGGATTGTGGAAATCAGCTCACCAGGGAGAATCTCAAAATGAAATGATTTATAGGGTGTTCGATTGAAAAAAGTTCAACTTCAGTGTTTTGTGATTTTTGGGGACATACTGAATGTTTCAAAATAATTTCAAATGGTAGCCTATGTTGACATGCAACTTCCTAGAGAGGAAGAATTCCAAGAAGATAAGTGGTTAGCCTTCTAGAGACCGAGGCGTTACTGGTGGCCCACCCTGTATATTAGTAAAGAAGAGGAGAGGACACTTTCTGATGGTCATTGGGTATTTCCCTCAAGGGCCTCTATTCGTGGTAAGAGTATGTACAGTTCTTCATGACTCATCCTGTATCAAGAGATGAAAGGTGTACATTTTCTCCCGCTTGTGAAATTGGATGCCCGACGCGTAGCTCATGAGAGGGAATAAGGAACCTCTGATGAATAATTCAGGTTCAAGCCAAAATTCAGCAGATGCTTTGATACTCGAAATTTTGAGATTTCGATTGAATTAATTGAATGAATGAATTTTCTTGCTGATAGCCGTCATAATTATTTGGAAACTTACATCAATTCGCACAAATTGAATACCTGTTCCTTTTTCAGCATGGGGATCAATTCCTGCTACCGTTTATATCACAGAGATTGCAAGGCCAGATGTTAGAGGAACGTTGGTTTCAGCAGCTCCATCTTTATCATCTATAGGTGAGTCACAAAAACCAAATGTTCGAAATGATCTGAATACAGAGAGAAATAGAAGTATTTATTCTCTCCCAAATGTGCTCCGTTTGAATCAAAATCAGGATTTGGATAACCAAAAAAACTTGGGATAGACTTCAACCTGCGGATGTTTTATGCCGTTTTTTTTTCTCGAACTTAATGTGGATTCATGCACGACCTAATTTAATTTAACTTCAAGCTCAAGAAGTTGAATCTTGCCTTTTCAGTGCATCGGTTCATGTAGTTGACTAGAATTTAAAAATAATTCAAGGATTTAAAAAGTTGCCAAGTTTTATTTTTTTCCTCAAAAATAAGATTGTAAGAGAAGATGCATGGGAAACCATATCATGTTTATTAGGGGACACAGGTTTGTATATTATATATCATAATAAATGGCTAATATAAAGAGGCTATCACTATCAAAGCAGTAGTTTTCTTAGAAGAGTGCAAGATTCCAAAATAATTATGACATGACACTTATGACACTGCTGAATGTTACTGTATGCGCATGCGTAAATTCCTGAATAAACTTCGGTATGAACCTCTCAATTCAGATTCTTAGGGCTAAATTAAATTAGGGTTGAATTCGGGTTAAATTAGGTCGTGCACCGTGGCGTCACTAGAAAGGTTAACGGTATCCTCGATATAAGAGATGTGTATTCGACTTATCTCTGCCTCAATACAGTAACAACAGAATTCAAGCTGCAATATGGTGTTCTGCTGCATACTTCGCGTATTTATTTTCATAGGTAGGAAAATTTTATGATTTTCATACAAGTAATATATAATATCAATATTTAATGTTTATTGTCCTCTTCATTTATGTTCCACACATTTTTAGTTCAGGCGATTGGCAATCTATTTGATCGATGCAATATCCTGAGTGGTCTAAGACAAACATGGTGCGAATTTATTTTCAACGTCATCCGAGGCGGAAATGATATTGTTTTACAGGGTGTCAGTATATTCCTTTCAACAAATGAGATGAAAAATCAAGAGGACATGTCGATTTTATTCTCAAGGAAGATACTCTTAATGAATATTTTGAGTTCTCGTGACGCAACCCAATGGGAAGTACCACCCTCAAAGGCCTCAAAATATTGAATGGAAAGGGGGTCAAGTGGCAGATCATTCTTTCAAAAAATTGGGTCCTCAACTCACAAAAGTTGTTGAACTTGCCTGCATCTTCAGATATAATTCCTCACCAATGGTTCATGTAAGAACGTCATATGAGGTTGAAAGAATTCTTCATGTTTTCTCTGGGCATTTTCATAATATTTCATATCCAAAAGTTGTAGGACCTTTTTAAATTTCCACAACTGTAATAGTTTTTCAGGGATATGAAAAAATGTGAATTTTTGGAAAATTCATTTCAATTTATTTCTTCGCAAGTGAAAAAGAGATATCGCCCCAAACTCAATATTGTTCATGGTCTCTTGGTATTTTAATATCCAACGAGTCTGTGAAGTGTAAAATTTTTCATTTTGGTAATTCAGGTACGGTGGTTTGCTTCCTGATGGGCTGGTTCCTGATTTGGGTAATATGACATTCATGTGCTTCATGGTCTCATAGCATTGTCATATCCATAGACCTATTATATAATAGGTCTATGGTCATATCCAACGAATCAGTAAAGTGTTACATTTTCCCGTTTTGGTATTCGAGGTACCACACAGCACATATATGTCCAATGAACGTATTACAATGTACATCCACTTTGGATTGTGAGGATGTACAATAGACGCCCATGAATGGTCGTTTAACAACCAGAGGACGTCCACTGGATGTTCTGAGGACATCACTTTGGACATACAGTGGATGTGTATATTTGTACGTACAATGAATGCTCATCTTTATACTTACAATGGATGCAGATATCTGAGTACCCATTGGACGTATCGAAGTGGACATTGAACAAGGACGTTCATTGGATGTCCTGAGGACACCACTTTGGACGTTCAGTGGATATTTATATGTGGATGTATAATGAAAGCTCATCTTTGTAGATCAATGAGCGTGTACACCTTAGTAGAACTTTTAACTCAAACCATGTTTATAATGATCCTTTTATACATAAATAAAGATTGACGACATAATTCGATCGAAAAATTAACAGGAATGTTTTATTTTTGGACATAAATAATAGTACCTTCTGAAAACGGACCCTCTCATGACGTAGAAACCTCATCTCGCCATAGTTAAAAGAAAATACCCTCAGATCATAAAATACCAAACGCCCGACGGAAACTGGACTGAGGCAACAAGTAGGTATCATTCGTCTCTTTCTGGAATAGTCTTGTTTCAGTATTAGGGTTTTGACGTCACATCACCGCCTCGTTTTCAGAGGTCCAAAAAATCGGGGATTTCAATAATTTTTTATAAAACGTAGGGAGCTCACCGCAAGAAACGGTTTGCGGTGATGAGCTAGTTTGGGTGAGTTCTATCGAATTAGGAAATACAAATTTTTTGTGATGTATAAGCCCATTGATGAAAAATCAGTAGGTAGCAATTATATTGGTACTTCTATTTAGTGAACTAGGAGATGATTATTGAACAGTCGGCTGGCTTCTTTTTGTTGACTACGTCGATTTGTTTTTTCGTCTTCCATCAAGTGTTGCCTATCTTTTGCACTTCTTCCACCGTACTGATGAGGGCCGGAAGCCCGAAACACGTGTCTGCGGTTATCTATCCCTGGGGGCTATGTCTAATAATCTTCTTCTAGTTTACTGAAAACAGTTTCCCCAATATTATTTTCATCTCAATTCTTCTATTCTTATATATTTATTAATTATTAATTGAAGTCATCTCTTCTGCGGTCCACTATGGATTCTTGTTTCTGTGAAAAAAAAATTATATTATGTTGCTCTATAGGTATTCCTTAGTCGAAGCTTACAGTGTAAAAATCGATTGTCCATACCTCAAATCCTGTTCATTTAACGTTCATAAACTTCCAGATTGGAAATTGAACAACTCCTTATATACTCATTTATTCTTCACCATGATTTCTTGAGCTCAAAATGGATGTTAAATGGACATCAATCAATGGAAGTTCAATTTGTATTATCCATTGTACGTTCGTATTCCTACGTACAATGGATGTTAGTCAAACGTCCATGAGAATCTAGTCCTCGGGTTGACATCAAATGGACGTTCACTGAACATACAATTTGAAGCATGAAAGGGTCATCCATGTTTTTACGACCTTTGGGAAGTAATTCAATGTCCATGGACGTATGGAATTGAAATGGACTTGAAATGGACGTCCAATGGATTTCATGTGCTGTGTGTGCTGGGGTGGTGTGCTTCATGGGCGAATTCGCGCACTGGAGGGCGGTCACCTGGTTGGCCAATATTTTTGATATAATGAGATTCATGTCCTTCATGGTCTCTTGTCATTCTTATATTCAATTAGCCAGTGAAGTGGTACTTTCTCTATTTTGGTATCCCAGCTATGCTGGTGCGAGTCCTAATAGACTGGTTCCTAAACTGCAGGACGGTTGCCTATTGGTGGCCATCCTGGCCTGAATATGGTGAATCACCCCAAACTCAAAATTTTGGGTAAATTGAGATTCATGTCCTCCATGGCTTCTCTGGAAAAGCCGATCGCACTGTGCCCAACATAAGCTTGTCAGAAGTAACCATACTTTTGAAGACATCCATTTCGATGATTAGTATTACTATCAGCAATAACCTTCTTTGGGAAAATCAAGTGAGATCAATTGCTAAAAGTGCATCCAAAAAATTGGTTTTCTGTTTCGGGCCAGGAGCTATTTCACTTCCAATCAGCTGCTTATGATCTATAAGGCACAGATCTGACCTGTCCTGGAATACTGTTCCCATTTTTGGAGTGCAGCACCCAAACATACCCTGAAACTGTTGGAGTCTGTCCAAAAAGGGCAATTCGTCTCGTGAGTGATGCCTCGCTCACAAACTCTCTCACTTCTCTGGAACACCGTTGAAAAGTTGGCGATCTGGCTCTATTTTATAGATATTTTCATGGACGATGCTCGTCTGGAATATCAACAATTGTTCCTTCCTTGGCAGTCCCCGCGGGATTAACCCGTCGAGTTGAGGGTTCACACCCCTCCGTGGTCACTTTGGACGTTGATTGATATATTACGCTTACGCTTTTGGAGACCTGCAGAACATCTCTTTCCAAAGACTCGTTCATCCAGCGAACAGCGAGGCTCTGGAACACATTTCCAAGAAAGGTGTTCCCCGAGGCATATAACCTCCAGGAATTTAAGAGGAATACCAATTCCTACCTAATTTCTCTTGGTTCTCACGATGTTCTCTGAACATTACAGGATATCCCTTTTCGTGGGAACCAGAACATAAGACAAAAAAAAAATGGTATATTGGCATTCTCATATCCAACGAGTCGTTAAAGTGTTTCATTTTCCATTTTGCTATTCCAGGCAGCACACCACCCCACCATGGTGGTGTGCTGCTTCCTGATGGGCTAGTTTCTGTGCTGTAGGACGATCGCCTGTTGGCCAAGATTTTTGTTATAATGAAATTCATATCCTTCATGGTCTCTTTGCATTCTCATATCCAACGAGCCAGTAAAGTAGAACATTCTCTATTTTGATATTCCAGGTATGGTGGTGTGCTTCCTGATGGGATGGTTCCTGCACTGGAGGACGGTAGCCTGGGTGGCCATCCTCTACGCGTCGGTGCCCATCATGCTGCTCTTCTGCATCCCGGAGAGTCCGGCGTGGCTGGTGTCCAGAGGCAAGATCCAGCAGGCCGCGGATTCTCTGCGGTGGTTCAATAAATACCAGCCGCAACCGGAAAACAGGGTGAGCAACATTGATCGTGTGTGAACATGGACTTGGAAAGTAGTAAACAGTGCTGAGGCCTCTCAAAATAAATTGAAAAAAATTGTAGTAGGATGAAACCCATTGGAGAATGAAGTGAGTATGAGAGAGGTGGAAGGAAAAATAATTTACGGGCGATCTGTGGTCAGAAACTGAAAGAAGGTGAGCCTTTGAGGGTGCAAAATGGATTATCTAGATTCCCGACAAAACAACGAGTCCTATGGAAAAAATTGTACAGCAAAGTTGTGGGTAACAAAAAGATCAATAACTCTTGTTTCCACACTTTTTTCACATAACCTCAAAATTCATGTGAAAAATTCAAATAACCAAGTTTCTGTTCTTTGTTATCTCTCACAGAAAACTTATTTTTCACTAAATTTCGAGTAAACTTATCCCTCTATATCCCAAACACATCGTATTTTTTTTGATTTCACATACCTGTTTTATCTCTTTTATTCAGACTTTATATTGAGAAAGCACCCTTATTCTCAATCGAAAACTCTCGCGTCAGAATATCTGTTTTTTTTTTCAAAAATCTCGATGGGCTTTATCTTCGTTGAAATCTCCAATTTCTGATGGTGTGAAAAATATGTATATCACTCTGGTAAATGTTCTCAGAAAATGCAAAGAAACGAAAAACCAGCGCTAACATTGTTCAGATGATATCCGCTTCGAATCCTTACTTTATTATTCAGAACAAATATTTAATTTACAATTAGTATTAAGTTTACTGGATAGTTTAAAATTGTACATATACAGGGTGGTCTGTTTTTCAATACGGAAAATTCAACAGCGCATAGTACTCGTTTCTGAAAGAAAGAAATGGGAATTTAAGAAGGAAACACAGTATGGAGAATTCTGCAAAGCTGTGGACATGGCAAGTGGTTGCTCCCAACAAATCATTGTTATGAAGTAGGAACAATGTTGGTGCCTAAATTGATCCCTATGGAACGCCGGAATGGATGGCACTTGTAGCTCGTCCACCACCACATGAAGCGATCTTCCTAAAAGAAAACTTCATGAAAGATGGCATATCGGACGCCTTTGATAAAACCAGATATATTGAAATTTATCGATCATAAACTCATACTAATTTTCATTTTTCTATCCATCTGCAAGCAGGATGTGCGACTTATCAACCCTAATAGTATGGGGAGATAGAGATCGATTGGTGTGAGACAGGCATATTATTCCAATCTTGAATTAAACAAACATCTTGGATGATTTCTGCCCAATTTGTATTATATATTCCTTCAAATTTCAGGGCGAATCTCTTGCAGAACTTCAACTTAGCCTTCTACAGAGGGAACACCAAACCAAGCTAGAGGAACAAGCATGGAAAGGAGAGTTTGGAGCTAAAGCCAAAATGATGGAGTTCCTGAAGCCTACCGGCTACAAACCTTTGCTCGTGCTGTTTGGATTGTTCTTCTTTCAACAGTTCTCAGGCATCTACATCACTCTATTTTACTCTGTTACTTTTTTCCAGGTGAGTCAATGTTTAAAGAGTACTGCCATCATCAACCAATAATATCAACCTATAATAGTATATTGTGCAACAAGTGGGGAAAGTTCAACTTTCTCTTACATGTTACACATTATATACTTTTTCTACATCTGCAAAAATTCAAAGAAAACATGTGATCTAAGTTGTAACTCATTATTGCTACCTTTTCATTTTATAATACTTCGCATAGAATATTGTGACCAAAGAGCAGACGACTTTCCTAGTTCCTCAAAGTGTACCAAAAAAAGTACACTTTCCGAAAAAGATTTCTTCTACAACTGCTATGAAAAGTGATGTTTTCCTCATAGCTTACTTGGTTTCAAAACCATGTATTGCTCATACTGTGAGGAATATTTTTCCTCGCGGCACTTTGCCAAAACCACAAACATTCCCTCAGAGAATCAGCGAAATTCGATGAAAACTCAGTTGGTTGCTGATCTGCTTTGAATATATTTGTCACAACTGTCAGCAAAAGCCTTTTAAATTCATAGGGTAGTTTCCATTAGGGCTAAGATAAAAATCGCAATAGGTTCTGAGGGTGATGGTGACGATTTTGAAAATACACAGCCAGAGATAATGGAAAAACTGCAAAAGTTTGATTTATTTCTCGAAAATGACAAGAAGAAAGTATGAATTGGCGTACGAAAAATTTATGCGATGTAGAAAAAATACAAGAATAATAGTTCATTGTGCAACAAGTGTAGCTCGATATTCCTCACAAGTGTGGAAGTTTGTGGCACGAGTCTGAGGGACGAGATCTTACTTCAAAAAAGTTATGTTTGGAACTGTTTAAAACCACTCGTTACGAACCGTTCAACTAGCGCCCTCTATGAGAGTATTATATAAAAATTATAATGCATGCGATGTGTCAGCTTCCAGAATTGCTAGTAGTTTCGTCATTATTGGGAAGAATATGTGTAAAAAAATCTTCATTTCAACAACTCGTGTCTTGAAAACTGATGTCGATAGGCATTCTTTTATTGAGCAACCCTAACTTATTCTGCAGTGTTCTTCCTACCCAGGCAAGGATATTACTCTTTTTCGAAATTAGGAAGTAAAGTTTCAATGAACATGAGTCGAGAAATGGCCTCCTTGAAGGGTGCTCCTGAAGATTATATTTCCTAAATATTTCCAAAACGAGATGAAATGATGCAATCTGTTACAAGAACTGAACTTTCCATGATCAATGAAGTGAAAATGACATAATTCCAGAATTCCCTCCAGCGTGGGCTACATAAAAGTGCTCCATTTGTGTATCCATATTTTTCAAAATTTAATCTCGGATTATGAAAATCCACACCGTTTTAGATAGAGAAAAATGTGCCCGTGTTCCGTATAGATCAGATGGATCATTTTTGAGTGGAATCGATTTAAAAAATTTGTTACACCCACATCTCATGCATAACGTTGCCAATTTTCAAATAATATACCTGGAATTAGCCTGCCATACTCCAATAGCAGATTCAAGAATAAGAAACCCATAAACGTGGGTCAAGAAAGGCTTCATAAGGGAGCTACAGCCCCTTGGAGGTGATTCCCTGAAGATGGTTTTCATTCAATATCTCTGAAACCTGTAGACGATAAATGATGAAATTTTGCACATACTCAAAAGATTTTTTGGACGGGGTACCAGTAGTTGTAGAAACATTTTACCCGTAAGTAGGGTTACTTGATAAGAGTAAGGGTGAAAACTACCCCAAATTTTTTGTGTCTGTTTTTTTTTCGAGATTTCATGCAATATTTTGAAATTTCAGGGTGTTTTACAGAAAACGGTGCTCCTAATAAACTCAACTAGCATGCACCGTTTTCCAGTAAAACAATCTTCAGGAACTCGCATTTTAGGGCTGTAGCTCCCTTATGAAGCATTTTTCGATCCAAGTTTATAGAAACTTTTCTTCTCACTTTTGATCGGAAAATCTGATGTTGAAGTATGGCAGGCTAATTTCGGGTATATGATTTCAAAATCGGCAACGTTATGCATAAGATGGGGATGTAACAATATTTTCAAATCGATTCCACTCGAGAATGATACATCTGATCGATACGGAGAAAAAGCACCTTTCTTTCTGTGAAACGGTGTGGATTTTCATAATCCGAGATTGAATCATTGCATACAAGTAGTCTTTGAGCAACAATCTAACACTCCTGCATTAAATTTTGACATGACATCATTTTCACTGCATTGGGCATATAAAGTTTAGTTCTTGTACCAGATTGTATTATTTTATCACATGGCATTTTGGAAATATTCAGGAAATATCATTTTCAAAAACCCTCTTCAAAAAGAGGCCGTACTCTTAGTAGCCATTTTTCCACTTATGTTCATTGATACTTTTCTACCTATTCTTGGTCAAAGAATCTGCTACTGAAGTAAGAAATTAAATAAAATTCACTTTGTTGGTGGGTCTCATGATATCGAAATGTCTTTTTTCTGCAACCGACACAAAAGTCGTCCATTTTGATACCAAAATTAGCTCTCAAATTGACGTTTCTATTACTGACACAAAAATAGGTATGTTGCTAGGCAACATATTTAGTTCCTAGGAGCTTAAGTTGAATTTTAGTTCCTAGGAGCTAATGTTGAACTTTAGCTCCTAGGAACTAAAAAGGATCTACTGGACGTCATCAAGAATAAACTACATTGTGACGGTTGGCTATTTGGGTTGAGACGCATACCTGATTTATTTCCGATTTCAGCAGATATGGCATTTTATACCCATGCTGGAGATATTAATACACCTTATTATAGTTTAGTATTGAAATTATAAACATCTCAGTTAAGTATTTTTGTTTTGATCAGGGAAGCCTTCAAGATTCAAATACTTGCGTGATCTGTATCTCATTCGTTATTCTCGGGATGGATAACTTGTTTTTGAATAATCACGGCAAGCAATAGTTTTTTTGTCTCAAACAACGATATTGTTTAGCTTCATTTGATTATTGAGTAAAACACAGTGTAGTATGGAGAGGAATAAATAATCACTATTATCATTGTTGATATGCTCACTATTCTAAGATTTTCCACGTCTTGTTCCTATAGCTGGCACTGGCGCGGTATTTGCCATTAGAGCACCTGGTCCATTCACAAATATGTCACTCTGTGGTTGTATTTATATTGAAATTTCAATTCGAACATCCTAGAAAACCTAACCTGCTGTTAATGCAGGTAGAATATTCTCACCACATGGATTATTTGTCAATATTTTTTGCATTGCATACATATGGCACGGCATTGGTGGTTACTTCACATGTTCATTTGACTTAATTGTTTCGGTTGCAGAAAAAATAGCATGTTTCATTCGGATCGAAAGTGACTTTGTTCGACCCGCAAATTTGGCTTTCGCTCGGCTTCGCTAACGCTCCGCCTCGCAAATGCAAAATTCGCTTGTCAAACAAAGTGTCACTTTTGATCCTAATAAAACAATATCCTTTTACCCAGTGAAAACCTCAGTGGAAACATTGAAGAACTGTGATATTTTTATCGTCTGATTTTTTCAGGCAGTGGGTAGCGATTTCAACCCATACTTAGCATCGACATTCATCGCCGTCATCAGGGTGATAATGTCTTGTATAAACACCTACATGCTGAAATACTTCCGAAGAAGGCCACTGGTGATTGTGAGTGGCTTTGGAATGGCGATTTGCATGCTACTTTCGGGACTGTTTACCCATTTAGTGAAAGAAGGTGAGTCGAAAATTGGCGAGTGAACTGATAATGAATTATTATTCAATTACTCCACTGTGTGTTTAGGAACCTAATTTAGTTTTTGCAGCACTCCTCAAACTTTTTTTTGTAAATAATGGATCTGTGTTCCGTTTATGCATCATTTCATTACTTAAATATTAGTATTCTGCTAAGCCACTGTCCCGATCAAATTCCAACTTTATGATAATAACATTTGGTATTCTTATTTTGTGATTACTTTCCGTGGGAACCTATATCCATTGACAAGAGGTACCATATCGTCATCCCTCCATGGTGCGCAATGCGTACTGGAAGAAGCGGTTCGAACCCAGGCAACCAGATGACAAATGATCACGTCACTGTGACGTCCCTAATTGATTTTTCGTCAGAGACGTCACATACCAATTTATGACGTCACTATGACGTACTTTCTATGACGTGATAATCACGTCATCGTTTCGACGTCGAGTGAACGTCACTTAGATGGGTAAAAGAAGACGTCAGTTTCATGACGTTGCAGGGACGTCCTGTCGACGTCCATTTTTCCCAGACCTCCTCTGAACCATGGATACTTATATATTATCATGTGAAACAGAAGTATTACTCATGAAAGCAGATCAACATTCAAGTTTTATTCTCATTATTAATATACCCGAAAAGTAGTAGAAAAACTTTCTCTAAAAATCATTGACACACTGTATATCTCGGAAACCAACAAGCTATGTATATATAAAAATAATTGTTTATTGATACCTATATTGAAACCGTTACTCTTATGACGTTGCAGTGACGTATCTATGACGTCTAAAAATCACGTCGGTGTGACGTATACTAATTTGGTGAGCTTCGTCATTTAGGAAATTATTCAATAATTTGCTATTCAGATTTTTGTTGGGTGACAAAGGATGCATCGATATACATTATTCAACAAAGTGAAGCGAAATTCGCCAACATCCTTTGCATTGCTATCAAACTATTCTTTGTTTGCTCACATCTCGCCGACACAAACTACATAATTTTTGATACAAATACGAGTAACTGATTGCATTCTGATGGAGATGCGTACTGAAGGATGGCGCTGCTGAATAGGCGATTGAATGAACATGACACAGGAGGGACCCACCAAGCAGACTCAACAATGCATAATCAATATCATATAATGTCATCAGAGGCTAGTAGTGTTTATCACACCATGTTGAAGGAATCTTTTTTACGCCAAATTCAATCGTCATTATGACGTCAGTCGGACGTCACAGTTTGGTGAGTGAATGACGTCAATACGACGTGAGTAATATGACGTCATTGTGCTGTGACTTATTCACGTCATTATCACGTCAATGCGACGTCACCTGGTTGCCTGGGAAGAAATGAGATGAGAACGGGACGATACCAATAAGTCCAATTTCTTATTTTGGTCAGATAATCTTCCATTTCCACTCATAAAGGTTTTCAAGTCAATAATTATAATCAAGTTATCAAAATGATGTAAGAGTCCTGTTCCGGACTGATGAGAAAAATCTATTATCATAAAAATTGGTCCAGCCGATTCTCATTTCTTATTCTCATTTTCTCATTTCTCTCATTTTCTCATTCTCATTTTATCAGCTAAATTATCCAAAACCCCGAAAGACGTATTCTAATAATAATTGGTATCTAAGGTACCCACGTATGGAGTTTTATGTCTGATAGTTGAATATTTTGTGTCCAAGGTTGAAATAATGGCCTGGTGCGTGTGGCATGAAATTATTGTTGCGCAGTAAACAACCCTTCGTAAAAACTTTATTGGATGAAATGTCTTTTTTCAATAGATCTAAAAATATGTATACAAAGTTTCATCATAGTAGTTCTGGTGTGAAAGCCCGACAAAAAAATTACATTCACATTCATAATATCAGAAGAAATTTCTACATATTCGCGATAAGGATAGAACTGAGAATATTGATGGAGGGATTTTGAGAATAAGAAATTTCGAATTGCCTCTTGTCAAAAGAGTGTATTATTCATACATACTTATATGATTATGCCGGTCTTATATGGTACGCGCACCTAACCTGACGCCAGTTCACCGGTTTACTTCCATCCCAGAAAGTGCCTAACGAGCCTATAGAAGTTATCACTTCAGAAATTAATTCTTAGAATTTGAAATCGACCTCTCAAGATCTTGAGCTCCCTTATTGATAGACTATAGTTGATAAATTAATATAATTTGGTACTCGTTTTCAGGTTCTTTCACCCACACCTGGGTACCGGTTTTTTTTCTTCTTCTCTACGTAGTCACTTCCATGATCGGTCTTCTGCCCATACCTTGGACGATGACTGCCGAACTGTTCCCGATTGAGATCCGAGGAGCTGCCAACAGTGCCACCTACAGTCTGGCATACGTCACGATGTCGGTGTCTATCCAGAGTTTCTGGACCTTGGAAAGTTGGTTTCAGGTGAGGCTTTTATCTGTGAAAATTATCAACTATAGGCATATTGATTTGTCATCAATTATTTTCAAATCGATGGAAAGAAAGCCATCAACATTAAGCTCATTGAATATCTGGAGAGCTCAGGACTCATTAATGTCTATGACTATATGGCAAGCTTTATCCGAAAAACATATTGGATCATTAACTGTGGCATTAGATACATATTACGAGAGCTTTCGACCGTGTTTGGCACCAACTCCTCCACAATCCACCATCATACGGCTTACCACCTCAGCTATGCCATCTTTCATATAAAGTTTTTTCTCAGGCAGATCGCTGATACCATTGCCATTATTTCCGGAATTCCACAAGGATCAGTTTTGCTACTACTTTATATCAACGATCTATAAGGAGCAACCACTTGCCCTATCTACAGCTTGGCAGACGATAGTACTCTCCATACTGCGTTCTCATCTATAATTCCCATTTCTTCTCAGGGACCTAAGAACTCACGAGGAAGTTGTATCAACGCTGTCAATGATGATTTTGCCGAAATTACAGCTTGATGGGTAGGCAATCAACCTGGTTGATTTCAACGCTACCAAAACTCAAGCCTGAATTTTCTCTTGAATGGCGGAACTCATTGTGCCTGATATATCAATGTCTGGTACCACCATATTTTCACCAAGACCACTATATCTATGCTCGGTATTTCCATCAGCAATACTCTTCATAAAAAGTCGGATTTTCATTTTATGTGAAAATCAACTTTAGACATCAACAGCTCCTCATGATCTACAAAAAACAGATACGGCCAGTTTTAGAATATTGTTCTCACGTAATATGTAGTTCAGCATCCGAAGATATACGCTGATGCTCTCAGATTGTATCCAGAGAAGATTCATCCGCCACACTGCTTTGACAGCATAGGGAAGTTGACGTCTTCCTTTTTTCTATAAATACTTCAAGGAAAGTTATCTTCAGAAATCTCTGTCATTACTAGCAATACCAGTCAAACCTAAAGACGAGCTGGTGACGACAGATTTTTTGCAACAGTTTTTCAATGTATGCAACTTTCAAGCAATGATTCACATGCATGTGCTTTCATTTTGTCCTAGACAATTATCACCCACATCCTTTCGTCGTGAACCTTGAAATATGTCGAACAACTCTTTACCAAAACTCCTTCCTCTTTAGAGCGGCAACAAAGCTTCGAAATTCTTTTCCAAAGGGAGTATTTTCAAGAACTAATAACCTCTAAAAGTTCAAAAAACATACAATACCTACCTTCTCCCTATACAGGGTGGGAATAAGACCGACAAACTTCGTACACGGATTCCTGATCTCATTTTGAGGTGAGTAAGTTCCTGTTAACGTATGTCATAAAATTGATCCTCACTGAGAAATAAGTACGAAAAAAGATAAGTTAAGACTTCTCTTAATTTCTCCAGAACCCCTGTAGCAAAAAATATGAAACTCGGTATACCGATCCAGATTGATGATTCATATTTCACTTTGACAGATGAATCGGTGTATGACATCTTTTTAACCTCCGGAATATTTTTGAATATCGAAAAAATCAAAAACATTGTATAGGTGAGTCAGAAGTGAATCGACAAACTATAGAGGTTGATAGTTCTAAGCCATCTTAAATTTGTCAGAACCATAAAACTATCAAAACAACAGTTTTCTATTAAAGAGAACCCTCGCCACGTTTTCAATATGTCAAACAGTAACAAATTTTAATTATATTTTAATAAATTATTTGGCGCATAGAATATTAATGCACTAAAGGAAATACAAAAATTGATTTCATAGCAAATGTTCTAATGGACCTACATTTTGTTCAATACATAATTGACATCTTCTGATTATGGACTGTCGCATGTTTTGGAAGATCCCTGGTTAATTCTGGATTACCATGATTGCTGCTGAAATTCTAGCAGTTGAATCTTCTATATACAGGGTGTTTCACAGATAAAGGGAAATATTTCAATGGTATACATAGGGGTCACCAAGGTGGTTCTGAAAATACCATTTTTGATAGGTCTTAGAGTCTTCATAACGGAGATACAGGGCGATTTATCGATTTCGAATAATTATTCATTCGTCTATAAGTATTGAACTACCCAGTATATTTTTCTAAAATTTGGTATGGAGCTTATACTTGGGACGTTGAATTCATTCACCTATCGGGCGAAGTGAATCTCCAGGTTCGGCTTCAGGAAAAATTTACATTTATTCTAAATATCAAAATAACACTTTGTATGTAATAATTGACCGAGTTCATCAAAGGAATCGTGAAGAGGAGGAAAAACTGAACTGGATTTGATGCTTTTTGTTAACCCGCCACCAATTCTCATCGTAACAATCATAAACAGGAAACAGGAAGCTGCCAATTTCGAGAGTATTAAAATTATGAAACCACTTTCAATTATGATTTAATTATTTCAATTATGAATCCAACGTCCCAAGTTTGAGATCCATACCAAATTTTAGAAAAATATACTGGGTCGGTCAATATATATATAGACGAATGAATAATTATTCGAAATCGATAAATCGCCCTGTATCTCCGTTATGAAGACTCTAAGACCCATCAAATATGGTATTTTCAGAACCACCTTGGTGACCCCTATCTACCATTGAAATATTTCCCTTTACCTGTGAAACACCCTGTATACAGATTCTATAGGTGTACCCCCAAAGAAAAAAAATCTAGTGGAATTGAATCGGGAGAACGTGCAATGAACGGGACCATATCTATCTATCCACTGATCAGGAAAATTCTGGTCAAGAAACTGACGAACTGTATACTGGGAATGGACCGGTGCTATGTCGTGCTGATACCACATTCTTTGACGGACTAAAATAGGTATTTCTTCAAGATATAGTCTCACGATATGATTCTCGACAATACCTGCCCAAATATTGACGGAAAACTTTGGTTGGTAGCCTTTTCGGAACATACCATGAGGATTCTCTTCATTCCATATTGCTATACCTGGTATTGAAATATCCATCTCTTGTGAAACATGCCCCATCGGTGAATAATACATATCTAGGAAAGTCATTTACTTCCTGATATTTCCAAGAAAACATTCCCAAAAAGCCCTGAGGGGACCTCAATCACCAGCATTCAGGACCATCACCTTCTGTAAGTGGAACGTGTACAATTGTTGTTCACGTGCTACTCGCCTAAAACTGTAGACTGATGTTTTATTCTGACTCACCCTGTGCTGCTGAAGTTTGAAAAAATTATGATATAATATTGAACTGAACTGAATGAATTTCTGATGCTATTGATCTATTTCAGGGCATCGCAGGTCTGCAATGGTTCTTCGCTGCGGTTTGCATCCTCTCCTCGGTCTACACCTATGTTTTCCTTCCGGAAACCCACGGCAAAAAGTTGTCAGATATCACGGAGTATTTTGTGCACAACACGATCTTCCTTGGATCCACCAAGCAAGAACAATCAACTGGAACAGTTGGCAGGAAGGATATCCATTTGACCAATGGACAGAGTCAGAAACTCATAAAGAAATCCTTATCGTGCTAAATGGTTGCCAACAATCATTATTCCAAGGGATAGGAGAGATGCGAACAGGAGAAGAGATTCCTACAAGCGTCTAGCCACACCATTATCATCGGTGGCTTTCTGAAAATTCTGAATAGGCAAAAACAGTAATTTCTGGAAAAACGAATACTATGACCGTCAGGATGAGAAAATCAATTCGCTAAGAAATGCTGCCGTTAGGACTTGATGGAAAATCGTCAGCGTTACTGACGTCACAAATTCTATAATGCGTCGGCCGTCTATTATAGTCCAGGTACTGGTGATATGAAACGTTTTCCCATTTCACACTGCATGCCTTTTTGAGCTTTTATTATTGACCACAAAGAGGGAGAAACTCAAAATCATTACCACATTAAAGTTCATAAAATGAACGAAAATTGTAGATAACGAGATAAAAACAAGTACTGCCCTGGCTATATGCCACGCGGAACATGAGTTTCATCCCTCTGATATTTATGCAACGATTCGTAAAGACTAATACCGCTGCAAGGGATTATTTCCTAATTGCTGAGCTGTGCCAAATTGTTCAGGAACGCTAGACTACCTACAGATCGGTTTCGAGCTTCGAGCTCTCATCAGTGCAGGGGTGTCTCCAAATCGCATTCTTGTCCACCATGTGCGAACCTGGACTAACACAAACACATCCCAGCATTTAATACCCAAGAGGCGTTCGGCGTCTGCGAAATATGGACCGAACCTGAGTATAAAGAAAAAACACTTCAAAACAAATTCCCATTTCAAATGAATGGGAGTGGCTGGTTACCCGACCGGCAGTTTTTCAACTACTTATAGAAAAAAGCCAAATACTCAAAGTAAAATTTTTTTGTAAAGTTTGTATCTCGCTACTCCAAAGTTGGGAACCAACACTCCAGAGGTCGAAACTTGTGCGGGGTTAGGAAGAGTTAGGAACAGCTTATAGTGGAATCCGAACCACTTCTAGGGCATCGGAGTGGAATGAAACAAAGGAGGGAGAAAGTCATTACCATATTACTTCATAAAATGAACGAACATGGTAGATAAATATAGAAGAACAACTAATTTCCTGGCTATTTGCCACGCAGAACGTTGAATCGCATCCTCCCGATATCTATGCAACGATTCGTGAAGACGATTACAGCAGCAAATGCATGCAAAATCCTGGTGTGCATGCACGCCAAACTACCTACATATTATTAAATTATACAAATGAAGTATTTCTGATGGCACGCAGTTCGGAATCATGGAAAATCTGTATTAAATGTTTACAGAGTTTTTCCGAAATTTTCCACCGTTGGTCAGACGAAGGGGCATGCCAATTTTGTCAGAGTGTTTTTGTTACTGAAACTTCAATTCATCACATCCGCATGCAATTTGGAAACACAGAATTCCCTTTAATTTTCTTCAGTTTTTCGTAACCTTTTGGGTGGGTCACTTCGGCCGCTGCAGATTGTTTGAACTCCTGAATATCGCGAAAAAACACTAAAATTCTTTACAAGAAGAAAAGCGCGTTTCCTCATTGAAAGCACACGTGGGGCGGTCAAGAACCAGTCTCTTTTCTTCATTTTGGGGCAAATTAAAAAGGCATGCACTGTAAATGGAAGAACGTCACCTGTCACCAGCTCCTGGTCTATAAGTAGGCAAGAAAAATAGATAATTTACTCTCCAGTGAGATAAACAGTATTGCCTTCTCAACCAATTCTTCAATAATTATTGTTTGGATATTTTAACATTCATCTGTCTCAAGATTCAACTGATTCCTACAGGGTGATTGTGGTATACTTACTATAATTTCTTAATCTATCTTGGAAACATCTTCTCTGATTCATAAGAATATGCGGTCCTTACCACTTGCCTCATCCTCACGATATAATGACAAGACAGAGTGGCCAAATAAAATTGATGAGTTTTCGCACCACTATGATCAAGGATTGTATTATTTACTCTGGAGTAGAAATATATGTGCAAAATGAAATCGAAGGAATTACATGTTACATAAAATTCCGTACAAAGGTGAAAGCATTACTACATCAAACATTGTACAACTTGATAATTTTCTACGGAGGTTTCACAAGAGTGTTTCAAAGTGTTGTGTATTTTTCAATCAATTTTGTCTGTTAGATCAATTTATTTTTATTCATTCACAAACATTTCAAGTGTTGCCAACAAGTGTGTGATTTAAAAACTAGTGATGTAAATTAATTTATTTTTTATGTAAGTATATCATGTATAACAAGCTTTGTCAACAAGTGAGAAGTACTTAGGACAATAAAGTGTAGTTTGAATTGAATTGAATTGAACAATTTCATGGATGAACTGAACAAGATAGTTCAAAGCCCATTTTTCTGATGAAGTGGATTGTATCATATTATGTAATTGATATTGAAGTGAGTCAGAAATTCAGGTTCATCAAAATGGCAAGTCAGCCAAAATTTGATTGTGTAAACATCGGTATGAACGTATAATGGGGGTATAAAATGAATAATAATTAACATATAATGTACAATCAATATTATAAGTTGGAGTTGATGGAAATCGAATCGTTATAATAGAGCTCTGAAAACAGCATATTTCATTTGATTTTTCAAATAGCCAGAATTTGTAATCTACAATTCAACTTCCTGTCAATCAGTTTCAAAGAACTATAGGCAAAAATAATTCTTAAATTTTCATTTGAAACACACCCTGAAGTAGCACTTTTGCGCCCTTGGTCGATGAAGGAGTACAGCGGGCGGTAAAGTAGTCTGGCGGTTTGAAAAGTAGGTGATCGGGCGGTAAAGTTGATTCACTGTTTACCATCAGTAATTTTCATACTAGGATACCATCCGATCTTTCTTCGCCAGTGGCATATAGATACATAATTTGGCCAAATTAATTCAAAATCATTAATGAATTCTATAATGACTGTCAATGAACGTCTGAAACGGGGGTAATTTTGCTTTTATGAACCTAGGCGCGTTACTCGCTGCGGTCCATAAAAGCCTACTTTATGCCTTTGGTACATGAATATAACTATATATATATACCGTTACGATCAATAATATCATACTATAATGGTTATGAACTACCAGAATTTCAATTTTTTTCACAGCCTATAGTTTACCGCAGCTTATGAATGACTACAATTATGTAAAATAGCTTCTAACCTTCTCTTCATGATGTATCGGCCTCATTACTAATTCATAATAAAGGGAAGAATACAATGATATCATTGTGATATTGTTGAGCTGTTCCATGTAGAATTACGAGGTAAGTGGTTTGTTCTCTCTTCGTAATCAAAATGTAATCTTCAAACGGAATAACGAGAACTATTGAACGACACACAGCACGGATTTGGTTCTTATAATCCTCGATTGCACCTTGGATGACAATATTCAAATTCAACCTCATCCGTTGTTTACTACATACGTTTTAATAACTATGAATTGAAATTGGAAATTGAATTAGGTTCGAGTTAAATAAAAATGCCTCAAAATGGAGCTGGATATTTTAAAATTCAAGTAGGTCACTTTATTAATTCCACCTACGGCCACTATAGATCGCTTAATCGACGTCAACAGCGTCTGTCAAGAATTATAATTCAGACTGTCTGTCCAAATTTTTTTGATGTACTATATCCCAGGCAACCAGATGACGTTCCAGTGACGACTTTTTTACGTCACTTGAATGACCAAGGTGATGTCAGTAGTTGACGTTGCATGACGTGATAATGACGTGAATAAGTCACAGCCCAATGACGTCATATTACCCACGTTGTATTGACGTCATTCACTCACCAATTTGTGACGTCTTACTGACGTCACAATGACGTCAAAATGACGATTAAATTTGGTCATGATACGTAAAAAAGATTTCTTTAACATCGTGTGATGGACACCACTGGCCTCTGATGACATTATATAATATTGATTATGCATTGTTGAGTCTGCTTGGTGGGTCCCTCCTGTGTCATGTTCATTCGATCGCCTATTCAGCAGCGCTATCCTTCAGTACGCATCCCCATCAGAATGCAATCAGTTACTCGTATTTCCATAAAAAAATATGTAGTTTGTGTCGGCGAGATGTAGGCAAACAAGGAATAGTTTGATAGCAATGGAAAGGATGTTGGCGAATTTGGCTTCACTTTGTTGAATAATGTATATTGATGCATTCTTTGTCACCCAACAAAAATCTGAATAGCAAACTATCGAAGAAAATTCTGAATGACGATGCTCACCAAATTAGTACGTCACACCGACGTGATTTTTAGACGTCACTGCAACGTCATAAGAATAACGGTTTTAAAATATAGGAATACCTAAACAATCATTCGTATATATACATAGCTTGTTGGTTTCCGAGATATACAGTGTGTCAAAGTTTTTTATAAAAAAGTTTCCTCCTATTTTTCGGGTACATTGATAATTCCAATAAAACTTGATGCATGTTGATTTGCTTTCAAGAGTTATACTTCTGTTTCACATGATAATAAATAAGTATTCATGGTTTAGAGAAGGTCTGGAAAAAATTGCCGTCGACAGGACGTCCCTGCAATGTCATGAATCTGACGTCTCCTTTTACTCATCTTAGTGACGTTCACTCGTGGTCGAAACGATGACGTCATTATTATAGAAAGTACGTCATAGTGACGTCATAAATTGGTGTGTGACGTCTCTGACGAAAAATCACCAATTAGGGACGGCACAGTGACGTGATCATTCGTCATTTGGTTGCCCGGGACGTAATGCCTGTTGTAAAGCAATTACGTACTCATTGAATTACGCACTCGTCGCTCCGCTGGATTTCGATCTCAATTTTTATTCCGTTTATATGGGTGATATAAGTGGAATATAACCATGAATAGAGTGGGTCGAAAATCATGACCAGATGAAGATTTTGCGAGAATCAATATATAACGTTCTGTATCTCATAACGATGATTGTAGACAAATCAATGGGGAGTGATTTGAAACCATCAAAATATTCTTTTTCCTTCCTCTATTCATAGGTATACCGGGTGTTTCTCAAAAATTGCTCACCCTTATAACTTTTTTGTTTATACAGATAAACAAATGAAATTCGGTGAGTAAGTATAGTACATGAATATGCATTATCTGACGTATAAATTCGTTTTTTATCACTTCCGTTTTGACCGGAAATGAACCATATTTTTTTATTTTAAATGGGATACCCGGTATATTTTCCCTTATATCGATAGATAATAACATTTTGAGTATGACGACGCCCCATTTGCAACTTTTTGACATTAATCATCGTGAAATTTCCATTTTTCAATTTTAAATCTAGAGTGACATGAATGAGTTGAAACAGTATTGACTTCAAATCATGTTGCATAGGCAAAATTGTTTCGATGGTGGAAAATGGTGTGGCATCAGAGATTCACGGCTTGACTTGATATTCAAGCTACTTGACTTGACTTGACTTGAAATCAAGTCAAGTTCAAGTCAAGCGAAAGTTTTTTAATGTCAAGTCAAGTCAAGTAATTATTTATCAAGTACTTGAAAAATCAAGTAGTTCTATCAAGCTACTTGATTTTCAGCAGTTTTATTGTGTATCTATACAGCGTGACTCACGGTCGATGTTATAGGTTAGACGTTTATGGAGAACGCGACGCGGGATTTTTCTGAAAATTTCGTATACACAAAAAATTCCTGAAGTTGAAAAATCTCGATTTTTCGCACTCTATATCTCCATAATCTTTTCCGCTATACCCCGAGTGTGATGTATCGATGAAATCAACTCTTCAAGGAGAATCTGAAAATGCAATAAAATACAGGGTGTTCAATTCGAAATAACA